GTGGTGAACATGAAGTTTGCGGTGTAATGACTTTCTTGTTGTTACTAAAAAGAACAACTGAGAGTGTTTCTCCAACTTCCTTGTTGTCTTTACCATCCTCAGAAACATGCAAGAGCAAACACACCGTCATCTTATGCTGGCTGGTCACAGTTCTTCCAATCCCAGTTTAAGATTATAAATCCTGGAAAGGCTGATCATTTACACCCTTTCAACATCTGGCTAGAATGTGTCTCAAACCACCCCAGATGCTTGATGCAAGCTTTAATTATTGTAAATGGGAGTTCTGCATTTCTTGAAGTGTTAGATAAAAAAAAACAATAAAACAGAACTAGGAGCCCATTTTGGGTCTTGGTCCAAACTGTTGAGCAACGTATAGGGTAGCTTGTCCTTCATCCAGCCAACCCACCACCCAGACAGCAGGCAGCATAAGGAGGCCTTCAGCTTCCCTCCATACCTCACGTGTCTGATATTCTGAGGGGAACCGAATGGCATGTGTCTCTCTTCCTGCACTCTCTCTCCCTTCCTCTCCTCCTCCTCCTCTTCCTCATCATTAGCAAGACAAACATGTGTGAGAGAGGAGGAAGGAGACGGATAGAAACACAAGACCATGCGGTCTCCAGGCTCCTAATCTCTATCATGTGGGAGAAACTTCAAACTGGGAGATTCACGTGCCCAAAACATTGACACCCGCCACGGTTTCCCTCCATCCCTCCATCCCTCCTGATGAATGAGAAGCCATATGAAAGAGCCCTTTCTTAGGTTCTCATCTATAGGAACACACCTTCATTCTTCATTCCTCAACCTCCTCCACTCTGGTACATAAAGAAAAGAGTTCAATGACCTTAAGCCTTCTGATGTAAAGGGTGATTTCTGCTGTTCATAGTAGGGATTATTATTTTTCCAGGAAGAAAAGCGCACTATCACTATCCTCATGGAAGTGATATCTAACAATTCTTCATTGTATGAACAAACAAATTTGTTAAAGCAAGTAATTTACTGTTTTCAAAATCAGTCTAATTATCTGAGATTGTAGTCAATAGTTCTCGTTTTAACTGGTTTTAAGCAGGAGGTGAGCTGTTATATATCTAAGTAAATATATTCTAATATGTTCTATTTATGTCTATGTATGTTCTATGCTTTTAAATAAATGTTTTTTTTTCTGTTTTCCCATTAATTTATTTCTCAGGAAACAGGAAATGGTTTGGATGGATATTCCCAGGAATCCTAGTTGACTACCATTCCTACAGACATAAGATAAAATGGTTTAAACCACTAAGACAATGTCTGGAGACTGGCCACTAAATAAGACTGTTTAATAGAAGTTTTTTGCTGTTGTTGAGACTCTAATGGCACATCGGAAACAATAAGGAGTCCCTTTCAGGCTGAGGTTTAAGGTAGAGGTCAGGATTCTGTTCAGTATTAAGGTTAAGAAAGAGATTGAGGTTAAGGTTGGTGTTGAGTTTAATGGAAGAGAAGAGTGACACTCATTCATTTTAGGATTATGGGAAATTGGATTAAAATAAAGTTTTGAATCCTCACAGGGGAAACACACGTGTATGTCTGTGTGTGTACAGGAGCAGTATTGTACAGAGACCCTCGACCTTCTCCCTGCAGGACAACATTCAGCACTCATATCCTTCACAGTGTGGTCGAGGGGCCCCCGTCTCTCTGGGTCCTCTTTGTGTATTACAGTGGGATAAAGGAGCCTACTGTCCAACCCTTCTCTGCTTTACCACAATCCTCTTCCTGTATATCATCACCTCAGCATCACTGTGATGGACAGGCAGTGGGGTGAAGAAAGAGAGAATACATGAGAAAATGCAGAGAGAGAAAAAACAGAGGACACAGAGAGAATAAGACAGAAAGGATGATTAGAAAATGAAAAGATTTGAATAGGAGAAGAAAAATAAAAATATTGAAAACATAAACTTGAAAACTAGATTTTCAACAGACAACAAAGGCTTCATGAAATGAGAAAATTGTTCAGGACAGATGTTATATCTGAAGAAAAAGGACAGATAGGCCTATCAGGTTTGGAAAAGGGCAGCTAAAAGACGAGTGGAGACAAGAGATGACACTCTTTGTCCAGCAGTACATCCGACTGACAATAAGACACTATCATCTTGTCCTCAGAGAAGAAGACAAGAGCTCATCAGCAGACATCATCTTCTGTTGCTCACAGCTGTTTGGCTGCCGGTGGTGAGTGGAGCTGTCAGTGAGGAATCCTCCTGTCAGAGCAATTGGAGAAACATGAGTAGAATGCTAATTGTCAGAAGCTAACAGAGCATGGGAAATATGGGAGGAATGCTAATGATGGTTAATAGAGATTATACCCAGGTGGTAGCAGTAGTCATGCCCTGGAACGAAGCAGGATTTTGGGGAAGATGAGGGAAAGGCTGTGTGTATACTGAGTGGACAAACTGTTGAAGCTATCTACTATGTTGAAGCTTTTTTGATGAAATTAATCAGTGATTGAATGATTCAGTAAATCCTGGTGGAATCCTGGTATTTAACGGTTTCCTCCTCGACAAAAAACTGTATTTTAACCTACAGCACCTCTCACGTAGTTTGTTGTGAGATCACTTGTGGATTAAAGCAGCAGTAACTGATTTTTTTGTCCCTTGCAGGCGGCAGACATCACCATCCACTGACATACTGTATCATCACCTTTTACAACTTTTATGCAAACCTATCAGTACACAGTTGTCTATTAACACATCCAGCAGACAAAGAGCAACTTTGCATTGGCGTTTCTGTCAACCTGGCAAATGTATAATATCTGTCTAATATTCACTCTCTTTTTAGCTCTTATTTTGGTCTCTACCAATACCTAAAGGAAATGCATGGCTCTTTAACCAGCTAGTCTATAAGTGTGTTTGTGGGTTTTGGGGGTTTTCATTGAACAGTTTAATAGTTCTTCTCTACTGTTATTGTTACGCACTGAATATAATATGAAATATCCTTAAAATATGTCACTTAGTCAGTTTACTAAATGATAAGGGCTACATTAAGGAAAA